ACAGCAGAAACTTTTAACAAATATTTTACACTCTTCTTCACAGTAGTACACATTAAAAAGCATCCTAAGAATAGCTGAAAATCAATAGGATAGAGTGAAAAACAAACTACCACTACCTATAAACAAAACTAGGAAAAAAAAATAGGATTGAATGTTGACATGTCCACTGAACCAGAGTCCACTTCCCAGCTTCTCAGTCATAGATGAATTAGGCATGTAAACAGGGCCTTTGGCCCAACTCATCCTTGCTGACCATGTTTGCTAAACCGAACTAGTCCCATTTGCCTGCATTTGGTCCGTATTCCTCTAAACTTGCCTATCCATGGACCTGCCCAAATGACTTTTAAATGTTGTCATTGTATCCACTTCTACCACTTCCTCTGGCAGCTTGTTCGATATTTGCACCACCTTATGTGAAAACATTCCCCTCAGGTCCCTTTTAAATCTTTCCCCTCTCATCTTAAACTTATGCCCTCTAGCATCCACCCATCCCCTCCCCTCCATGGGTAAAAGACCTTCATCATTCACCTTATCTATGCCCCCATGATTTTATAAATCTCTATGAAGTCACCCCGAAGCCTTCTACACTCCAGTGAACAAAGTCCCAGCCTATCCAGACTCTCCTTATAAAGTGAACCTTGCAGTCTCTATAAAAACTTTGTAAATTTTTTTTTTTTTTAACCCTTTCCACTTTAATAACTTCCTTCCTATAGCATGGCAGCCAAAATCGTCCGCAGTACTCCAAAGTGGTCTCACCAATGTCATGTATAGCTGTAACATGACATCCCAACTCCCATACTCAATGCTCTGACCAATAAAGGCAAGCGTGCCAAACAGCTTCTTCACCACCCTGTCTACAGAAGAGGCAAGGGTCAACTGGGGCCAGCAGAATAATGGAGTTATAATAATGGGCCACAGTCAGATTATCCAGAGTTTTACACTGGAGGTTTACAGACCAAATGGTGTACTCTTGGTCTTGTTTCTTACGGTCACTGACTCAAAAACAAGTTTTTTTTCATCCTTAGCAAGGTAGCAGTTTCTTTCATTCAGTCACAAGACACTAGATTGAAAACCAGTTATTCACACAATTATGCCCTCCAGTTTAATTTAATCTTACCGTCACACTGGTTTACTCAGTCATCTCAGAAACTACAGAAAGTTTGCAGGGAGCAATCAACCACAAGCAAACAAAAACATTTAGAATTTGTCCATTTAAGTAAATAACTAACTGATTCTTCTGATTTGAACAACAATTTGAACTCAGCAAACTCTACCACCTGTTTGAAGGTTGCTTAACTAGATTAAATTGTTTAAATCATTTAAGTTGGTTTCATCCTTTCAAAAGATAAGTTAGGTTAATTAGTTGCTACAGTCAGCAAGATGACAAGTACTGCATATGCAACTGTTAATACTATTATTGCAGCCTAGATATAGATTGTCATAATTTGTTTGTTTGTGCAGCTGGTTAGGGCATAATTTTTGTTCCCCTTTTGCTTCAAAATATATACTGAATTAGATTTTTAAGACTGGTCTTTTTGATGCTCTCCTGTTTTTAAGACACAGTACTGTAAAAGCAATTTATTGAAAAGGTTATAGCTAGTGAAGCTAGGATTCAAAAAGAACCAAGACTCATTTACAAGTGCATTTTAAATACAGAAGCCGAAAGAGGGGGAAAAATCTGAATATTCACAGAATTATATATGCATAGAATCCCTGCTGTGCGAAAGCAGGTCATTCGGCCCATCAAGTCCACACCCCAACCCCCCAAAATCCCCATAATCCTGCATTTCCCATGGTTAATCCAGCTGGCCTGCACATTCCTGGAAACAAGGGCAATTTAGTGTGACCAATCCACCTAACCTGGACATCTTTGGACTATGGGAGGAAACCAGAGATACAGGGAGAATGTGCAAACTCCACACAGTTGCACGAGGGTTGAAATGAACCTGGGTTCCTAGCGCTGACAGGCAGCGGTGCTAACCACTGATCTACCGTGTCACCCATTGACTTCCGGTTTTCCCATAAATCATGAACAGTTAGTTTCAAGCTTCTGTGGGTTTGGCAATTTTGAGAACTGATAGTGATGTAGGGAAAATCATAATCGAGCATGTTGAAACAGAATAGACAGAGGGGAGCCAGTAAACTTGTTGTATTTGGACTTCCAGAACGCGTTCGACAAAGTACCTCTCAAAAAGTTGTCATAAGAGAAGAGGCCACAGTGTTGGAGGTGGTATACTGGCACAGATAGAGAATTAGCTAACTGGCAGGAAACAGTGAACGGGGATAAGGGGTTCGTCTTTAGATTGGCGATCTGAGACTAGTGAGGTTTGATAGGAATCAGTACTGGGTCCACAACTGTTTACAATATATATTAATGACTTGGAGGGATCAAAGCGAACGTACTGTAGCCAAATTGCACATGAAACAAAATAGAAAGATTGCAAGGGGTGTAAACAGTTTACAGGGAGATAAATAAGTGGTCAAAAGATTGGCAAATTGAGTATAACATGTGAAAATGTAAAGTTGTTCATTTTGGAAGGCAGAACAAGTTGGAGAAAAACTGCAGACAGCTGCAAGACAAAGGGACTTGGGGGTACTTGTACATGAAACACAGAAAGCTAGCATCATAGGTGCTGCAGGAAATCAGGAAGGCTAATGGAATGTTGGCCCTTATTCCAAGGGGGTTGGAATAGAAGAGTAGGGAAGTCTTACTGCAACTGTACGAGGTGCTGGTGAGACCACATATGGAGTCCTGTGAGCAGTTCAGAGAAGGTTCACTTAGATTATCACCACCCCACCCCCCACAACGCTGCACATATGGAGGGATTGTCTTATGAGCAAAGGTTAAACAGGTTGGGCCATTACTCATTGGAATTTAGATGTATGAGAGGTGATGTCATTGAAACACATAGGGTTCTTAAGGGCTTGACAGGGTAAATTCTGAGAGGATGTTACCCCCTCATGTGTCTAGGGCCAGACAGAATAAAGTGGCATCAATTTAAGGCTGAGATGAGGAGGATTTTGTCCTCTGAGGGTTGGTAGCCTTTGGAGCTCTACTCGCACAGCTGTCTGTGGCAAAGAGTCCTGGAGTATATTTAAGGCTGGAATAGATAGATTTTTGATTAGTAGGGGATATCAAGAATTATAAAGAAAGGACAGGAAAGTGAGACATGAGAAACATCAGATCAGCCATGATCGTACTGAATGATAGAACAGGCATGAGGGGCCAAATGGCCTACTCCTGTCCTGTTTCTTATGGTCTTAAGGAAATGGTGTTTTGTATCAAATATAGGAAGGCCAATGGTAAATGTCTAAGAATGGAATTGGGGCATCAGTATGGTCCCTGAATTACCCCAATCAATTTTAATCTAGCTTGGAAAAAATATTATTTGTATAATACCCTACTTTAAAATAATTTAGGACTCCGTGCTTTAGCTATGAACCTTTCAATGGAACAATGACAAAAGCTTTTGCAAGTAGCTAAAACACAATAAAAAAACTAATTTTCACTGTTTTATTTCAATATCATCTTAATAAAGAATATTTGGGCTTTTTAAATGTATCTACCTACTGAATCCAAGTTCACAGTCTTTAAAATGTTATAGTTCCTTTGGAGCTCAAAAATGCGAAAATCGAAAGTTGTTGGAAATACTTACCCATAAGTTATTCCACTAGTCCACTATTCACAGCTATGTCTCCACTCTTTTAATGATTATGGAGTTGTGTTAGCTACTTCGCAAAGCTCAGGAACATAATCCAAAGTTTAGTCAACTTAGGTGAGCTTCACTAAGTTCAACCCTCTTTGCTGTGAGATACTTAAGTGCAAGTGACTTTGGCTTCTGTTTCTTTTAAATGTATCTAACCTCATTATAGCTGGAATATCATTTACTATTTGCCTAGCATAGATCTTCTGTGGCTCCTGTAAATCAAGTATTTCACTTCAGCAAATCGCTTATCCCTAGGTAAAGACAATGTAATTGTAATAATTTGAAGTTGTTTTTGTCCCCAAAGTATTCAAATTATTTAGAAATTCGAATTAAACAACTTGCACACTGACTCTCATGAATGCAACTGAATTATCCAGTAATTTGAATTAAGCAACTTCTAATTAACAGGAGTAGACTCTAACCTTTTAGTAATTTTCTATTTGTCCTTAGATTCTAAGCGCTTGTAATCATGTCATCTGGATTTATATTTTAACTTTTGTTGACTGCAGCAGATTTTGAAAAGTGCTTCATTGTTCATAAGAACTGAAGTGACAATGTTAAAATGAGTACTTAGTTAATTTTTCTCACCTACTTTTGCTACTTTATCCCACTTATATATGCTGTGGTTGGTTAGATAGTTCGCAGACATTTCATTATCCTGCTGGGTAACATCATCAGTACAGCCTCCGATGAAGCACTGTTGTATTTTCCCGCCTGATATTTAAACCCTGGGGTCCACTGGAATCGATTACCTCATTTCTGCTTTTTCTTTGCAGTGGTATATATATAGTGTCTAATTCTAGGTGTTTATTGATGGCCTTCTTGGTGGAGAACCAGACCTCTAGAAATTCCTGTGCTTATCTCTGTTTGCCCTGTCCACCAAGAAGGCCATCAATAAACACCTAGAATTAGACCCTATATATACACCACTGCAAAGAAAAACCGGAAATGAGGTAATCAACTCCAACAGATCCCAGGGTTTAAATGTCAGGCGGGAAAACACAACAGCGCTTCATCGGAGGCTGTACTGATGATGTTACCCAGCAGGGTAACGAAACGTCTGCGAACTAACGAACCAACTCGACGAGCAAACCAACCACAGCATCCACAACCTGAGCTACAAATCTACTCAAGAACCTTAGACCCATTTACATGCAAACATCAGATTTTTAAAAACTTTTGTATATTTTGAAAGCCCTTTTTATTACCGTTAGCAATTACTTATCTTCAAAAAAGATAAATTGCAATAAGAATTATCTCTCATCAGTCACGCATCCATCAACGAAAAGTTACCTTAAGTTTAAACTCGAGCTGTGGCATAACCGAGAGGAGGAGATGAGGATCAATAGCGAAAAGCTCCATAATGAGATCAAAAACATGTTCAGATAAATCACTGACTGAAGACTTTCCCAGAACTAGGACCTGATTGAAGAACTGATTAAACAAATTCCGTTAAGTATACAGCTGAAATCAGTGAGAGCACATAGAAAACAAAGTAATAATTTTTATAAATACTGTATTGCTATTAAGTAAAATCCAGTAATACTCATTCCAATACATAATAAATTTAACAGAACTCCATTGGCTATTTCAATGAGTGTTCTTCCAAAAGTGAAGTAAAAAATTACATCTGTGATGGGTGACGTTCCACCTCTCCTAATACACATTTTACATGAGCAAAAGCAATGTGATTTGCTGGTATCTGTTTGAAGTTCAGCTCAAAATTAGTATTAGTTTATGACTGTTTGTTTATGCCAGACTAGGTGCCTCAAATTTTAAAATTACAAACCACCCAGTATCATAGAGCCATAAAAAAAATCCGCTTCTGATTCACAACCTTTATTGAGACATAACAGAGAAAAAGAGCACCTGATCTGGGAACTGCTTTTCTGTAATTTGTGCTATTTTTGTGATGTAGCACACAAGAGCTGAACCATCCTGCTCCAAAAAGTGTTGAAAATCATAAGTTGTTAAAATAACATAATTGTCATAAAAAGTCACCTTTCCCAGCTACTTAAGCACAGAAAGTTGCTATTTTAAAATTGTACTTTGAAAGTCCGTGGTTTAGCCAATATTGTCAATAGCATCATAACTAAGCCATAGCTTGGAGCATGGCTGGAGTGGCTTCTATTATAGGCTTTTTCATAGTTTAACGGTCTGATTCTGAAAAGTCAACTGCATTTAGGAAGAAAGTTATGAACACAAACAAAAAACTGTTCAAGGGTTACGGAAAGTGGGCAGGAGAGGGGAGTTGAGGCTGAGATGAGATCAGCCACGATCCTATCAAATGGCAGAGCAGGGTTTTGGGACCAAATTGCCTACTCGTGCTCCTAGTTCTTATCACCTAACACTTTATAAACTGAATATCATGACGGTTTCTAAAAAATATTTAAGATGAACTACTTTAGAGCATTACAAATACGTAACCTACAAGAGTGGCTTATGCCTGGGGATAATGACCAAGTTTCAAGAAATCAAACATCAATCATTTACAAGTTGATCAATACCTATGCACTGTTAGAACAGTTCTATGGTTAAGAATGATTGTTTTCTATAATCCTGTGTAATATTAAAAATAACAAAATCTCAATCCATTAAAACAAAACTCTTTTGGGTGTTGGAGAAAATCCTGAAAAAAAATGAAGCTTTTCCTTTACTCTGATTTACATAATGTAAGAATTAGGAACAAGAGTTAGCCCTTTGGCATGAATCTGCTCAGCCATTCAATAGGATTGTGGCTGACGTCCCGTACACCTACCCAAATTTTCTTCCTATGTCTGATTCTATTAACATTTTAATCTCTGACATAGATACGTTCATTAACTGGGCTTAACCAAGCCCTCTGAAGTAAAGCTCATTGAATGAGCAAGTTACTTGCCTATTTATTAAATGTATTTAATGGCCAGCCCCTTAGTCAGACTCATCTAGACTCCTGGCTCCATTCTGTCACGCCCCTTAAGAATTCATGTTTCAATGAGATCAACTCTCATTTTTCTAAGCTCCAGGTAGATTGTATAATCTATGTTGACCTTTGAAGCCTTGAAAAATCCTTCCAAGAAGGGCAGTCAATGTACATCCCAAGTGCAAAATGCACAAGCTTCTGGACCTGTTGGTCTAAGTGATCACCAGTGTGAAATGTGGAAAAGACAATATGCTGGTTAATTCATGTTGTACAAATTTGATTATTTATGTGTTTTATTGAATATGTTAATTTTAAACACAGAGAAACTACCAAAAACTTTCTAAATGGTCAAGTTTGATTGCCTTCAGTACCTGATTCAGACAGTTCATCAAATTGATTCTAAGTCACTCTGTAGTTTCAAAATCATCCCTCCTCAACAATCATCTTGTCTGCTATCTATTAAGTTGGATATTCCACCTGTTTTGGAATGATTGGATGACAGTTTGGGCATTAATAGCTACTACGATTGGACACAAAACATGAAAGGGTGAGATGGTGATGGTCCCAGTCAACCAAGGAAATATTCCACTCACTATGAACATGAACCATGATTACTTTATAAGCCAGAGGATATAAACAAATCCCACACCAACAAGTTGCATTCTCAGGCCACATGTTATCGATGTGCTACTTCACTCCCACTTAGTCCAATCATTGCCATAAACATGCACAAAAATCTACAAAGAATTTGATTTTCAGCATTTTGACATCTGGAAATCACCGCAGGCTTCAATTGTGTTCCAGCTACCACACATGCAGGTTAATATCACAAAGAATCTTGATTGGTCATATCCTGTGATTTTCACTAGAATGGTTCCTGGATCTTTCAAATTCATAGATCAGCTGCTGGGCACACTGAAACTTAAAAGATATTTCAACCATGCTGTTGATGTGAGATAATCGGTGCTCATGTTTTTGATGAATCACTGGATACTGGTAATTCTGGCATGGGCCTTTTGATAGTCTGTGAGCTCTAGGTCTTTTGCTGCAACACTAGACATCTGTGTTCCAAAAAGCAGTTTTGCGAACTAGCTGCTGCTCTAAAATCTTGGCTGAATTTGGGTTTGATTTGGCTTACATGTGTGTAGATGCATTGCATTTCTGGTAATGTCGTAACCATTCAGACCATTTTCAAGGACACACCCTGATATCTGCTTCTGAAGATCAGGTCAATGGCTCCATGTTCTCAGCACATTTGGTCTTGGGCATCAACTTGAGCGTACATTCTTCCTTATTTCATTCTTGCACCATTTTTTGACTAACACCACATTTCCTTGTTGCAGCTTAGATATTTGCCAACTTTTAAGTTTGAAGCTAATCTTAAACCTTACTTTTTCCTATAAAAGACATTTTTTCCCCATCATCCACCATGTGCTGCTGACTATGTTTGGGCCTATCTTAAACTTACACACATCACTTGTTTGATCCTCTGCACTGAAATGTAGCATGCGAAAGAAAACAGGCATTGTCCAGCTACGTCCACAAAAAGCAGGGCAAAACCAACCCAGATAATTATTGTTCCAGCCGTCTACTCTCAGTATCAGCGAAGTGATGATTATTTAAATACAAACAATGCGCAGTGTTATAGGGTAAAGCAAAGAGATGGGCATTAAGTCAAAACGCTCAGAGAGCCATTTCTGAGGCAACAGGCCAATGGTCCCCTTCTGTACCAGAACAATTTTGTGAAACTGTGAAAGAAATTAAGAAGTGGAAAGGAGAAGTTATATAATTTAAGAAATACAGTCCCAATCATGAAGTGAAAAAGGTATGAACATAACTGCTGATACTTTTCATAAACAGATAAATTTGGTTCAGAATGCTCCGCTTGGAAAAAGTGGAAATTTAACTTAAATATTTCTTAGCGCAAGAGCAGAGATGACCAAATATTCCATATCCATTTGCGCCACATCTGACAGGTGGTGAAAAAAGTCAGGACTTACCATCAGTTAGAACATAGTTACTTTACCAGCAAGGACTGGAAATATCAGAAATTTAAAAGGAGCAACTAATCAATGAAAGCAAAAACAAGTCTTTAAACTATTGCGATTGGATTTATCTTTCCAAACAGGATGGGTTAGGTTACAGAGTAATCGGTCACAAGGCATTATGAAAAAAGTAAATATTTGAGCTATTTCAAACTTCAGTCTATAATTTGCGCAATCAAAACTGCACAATCCAACATGTGCTATGAACTGAGTGGACAAGAAGATGGCGAATTTTGTTCAATCAAAATACTTACACTCGCAATACATGGTTCAATTGTTTGAGCTGTTCTCTTCAGGAGTACTTTAGCTAAATCATAGGCTTGCTTATTCATGTTCTGAAACAAAAACATGTGAACACTTATATGAATGCATTCATCATACCTAATACACTATATTCAGAAAATTGCCTTTAAAACATACATAAAAGTTAGGGTCTACGCTATCTCTTTGATATATTTTGAGGGGGTTTAGTCTGGTCCATAATATTCAGCAAGCACATGGGTGATGGGTGAATGGGATTTGATACAAATTAGAACAGAGGAAAGAGTTTTGGAAGACTTCAGGTTTTGTCATTTATATTTTATACATATATACATTATATATATGGTCGGGACTGTATTAAAATAGGTCTAAAGTTAACAAGTCAGCTGAGGCTGGGAAAGAGATGGATGATGTTATGAAAGTAGAAATAACTTGTCTCAGTGATGGTGCAGATGTATAATTGAAAGCTCATCTCAGGGTGATATACCTGCATGGTTGTGACAGTCTGGTCCAGCCTCAGACGATTGCCAATGACAGCGATAAAGTCAATGGCTAGGGAGCAAAGTTTGTAGTGCAGACTAAATACAATGACTTCAGTCTTCTCAATATTCAATTAGAGAAAATTTGAAGTCATTATTTCTGGATGTCAGACAAACACTCTGGAAAATTTAGATAGTGGACAGAATCTGAGGCAAAGCTGCATGTCATGGAGAAAGGGGTGAGAGGGAGAGATAGTCATCTTAGGTGGTACAATGCACAACAGACCAGAAATGGAAGAGCAGAGAGATCTTGGAAGGTTGTTGTGCTGGAGAAGATGATCGAGATTGAGAAAATAATTTCAAAATAAGGAGTTGGGATGTTATGTTGAGGGTGTTCAGGTCGTTGGTGAGGCCTCTTCTGGAGTACTGTGTACAGTTCTGGTCGCCTTGTTAAAGGAAGAACATTATTAAATTGGAGAAGGTTCAGAAAAGATTTACCAGGAATGGAGGGTTTGAGTTATAAAAATAGGCTGGGACTTTTTCCACTGGAACATAGGACGTTGAGGGGTGACTTTATGGAGGTTTATAAAATCATGAAGGGCACAGATGAGGTGAATAGCAAAGGTCTTTTCCCAAAGGTGGGGGAGCTCAAAACTAGGGGCCATATTTTTAAGGTGAGAGGAGAAAGATTTGAAAAGGACATAAAGGGCACATTTTTGTTTTACACACAAGAGTGGTTAGTGTGTAGAATGAACTACCACAGGAAGTGGTGGATGCAGGTACAGTTTGAGAGACTTTTGGACAGGTACATGTATAGGAAAAGTTTAGAGGGATATGGGCCAAATGCAGGCAGATGGGACTAGTTTAGTTTGGAAACATGGTCAGCATGGACTAATTGGATCCATGGCCTGTTTCCATGCTGTATGACTATAATTATACACAACCAGTAGATTTCATAACATTAACCATTATAAATCTATAGATAGTTGAGCAGATAATAAAGGCAATGCAAAAGTCACATCAATATTTTCCTTTTATATGTAATGGCTTGACAAGCCCGTATATGACGATTTTTAAATACTCCATTATTTCTGGGTAAGTTTCTATCCAAACCAGATATTCCCTGCTATTCAGTGTACATATCCAGTTAGTAGTTCTGTCTCACATGCCAGTGTGATAACAGGTTCAATCTCTGGTATTTGCAGATACATGATCTCATGTTAGATTCTATCACAGTTGTGTTGACCTGTGGGTACGTTAGTGAGTGTTCTCACTTGATTTTCTTTATATTCCTGACACAAACATTCTGCAGTGAAAACAGGATTGGTCTCAATGTGAAAATATAAAGCTGAAATTCAGATCATTGCTGCTGAAAAAAAGCTGGATTTCATGTGTTCTGAAAGCTATCAGATTGTTAACTGAAGCACTCCAGTGGACTATTAAAAAGCACTAGCATGGTGGGATGGTACTTGTATAGTGGCAATGTTACAAGACTAGGACCCAGAAACGTCAGGCTAATGTTCTGAGGGCATGGTCCCAAATTCCATCATGGCAAATGGCGAACTGTGAATTCAATTTAAAAAATCTGGAATGACGACCACTTAACCAATGTTGACTGCCATAAAAACCCATCAGTTTCACTTAAGAAACATCAGGAAAGGGAATCTGCCATTCATACACAGTCCAGCCTACACGTAATTCCAGATCCTCAGCCATGTGGTTGGTGGGCTACAAAATGCTGCCCTTACCAGCGACACCCACATTCCAGGAGCAAATATTTAAAAAATGCTACGCAAAAAAATTGGAAAAGAAAGCATGTCTTTAACCTTTTACTCAAGAACGTTACTGAAGCGTTATTTAAAATGATGGACTGGATGTCAGCCATCCTTGTTGAGACAAAATAATCTTACCAAATTACACGTTAATCCTTGCACTTGTTCTGGTTAACTAATTCAAAAAGCATGACTCCTGAATACAAAGTAATTATCTTCTATTTAAGAAGGTTGAATTTAGTACAGGTGCATCTTCTGGATACTGATGCAAGGCCACAAAATACACGAAAACCAAAAAACAGACCATCATTTTAAGTACAAGACCCTTGAAGTATGCAACATGCAGCTCTCCCCTCCCCAGCTCTCCACAAATTGTTAAGATTGCACAAATAAATCAGATCTGTGGAGGAAGTAACAGATTTAACTTCCAATATGATATTTCCTTAGAAACAGAGGTTGAAACGTTCAGTGCTGCTAAAAATGGCAGGGCCGATTAGGTGGAACACAAGTCGTGGTCAGGGATAGGTTATTGGGAGAAGAAATAAATAAACAGGATGTCACGGAACAACTGGCAAAAATGAGCAGTCATGGTAATTGATGAGATTATATGTTTTACAATTTTTATTCTCTTTAAAGATTGGGAAGAAAAAATGAATAATATGGCTTATAAATATATAAAGCGACAGCTGAAGGACGGGTTACCAAGTGTATATCAGAATTTGAAAACAAATGTGATTTGTTGGCTTTTTGGGATAAGGAGGCAAGAACTGACTAAGTCAACTTAAAAAAAAACAAGATCTGTGAAAGTAAGAAAAAAAAAGAACAGAATGCAAATTGGAATAGTCAACTAAAACAGAAAATCATAACATTATCGTTACAACTGAAAATGTGGATAGAGGTGTCAGGGCTGACAATAAAACATTTCCCCAAGCACAAACTTTTAGGGGAAAATGACAAAGAAACCAGAGAATAGGTACTGTAATTATATCAAAAACAATACTCATTATGACTGTTTCAGAGATAGTAGGAACTGCAGATGCTGGAAAATCTGAGCTAACAAGGTGTAGAGCTGGATGAACACAGCAGGCCAAGCAGTATCAGAGGAGCAGGAAAGCTGACATTTCGGGTCTAGACCCTTCTTCAGAAATGCATTTTTGACCCGAAACGTCAGCTTTCCTGCTCGGCCTGCTGTGTTCATCCAGTCCTACACCTTGTTATCTCACTCATTATGACTGCTTTGAAGACAATTTGGCTTGTATTCATTTAAAAACCCACCCATGTCCTCCGGTTCCAGGCACAAATTACCATTAAGATACTTAATGGGCCCTATTCTTTCCCTCATCATTCTTTTGCCTTTAATGCACTTTTGAAATAATTTAGGATTGTCCTTTATTTTAGCTGCCATTATTCTGTGTCCCCTTTTTGCTCTCCTAATTTCCTTTCCCAATTTCCTTTTTTTAATGTTTCCACTTGGACATTCTGTACTCCTGGAGCTTCTGTTGTTTTGAGCCCTTGGTATCTGCCATAAGCCTCCCTTTTTCTCTTCAACCAGTCCTACATATCCCTTGATATCCAGGATTCGCTGGATTTTTGATCCCATGCTATATTTTTATTGGAACATGTTCCTCTTGTACTCTCCCCATTTCCTTCTTAAATGTGTCCCATTGTTCTGACATGGATTCAGATAAAAGTATCTACTTCCAGATCACTCTGGCCAAATCATATCTGATCTTATTAAAACCAGCCTTACCACAGTTTTAATATTTGATTTTAGGCCCATCCTTGCCCGTTTCCATAACAGTCTTGAAACTAATCAAGCTCAGATCGCTGTCTGCAAAATGTTCCATCACCGATGCGTTAATGCGTTAACCATATACCCAAACTCATTTCCTAAACGTAAGTCCAAGACTGCCCCTTTTCTTGAGAGGCTCTACATACTGACTTAAGCAGCTCCACTGGATGCATGTTAAGAATACTCATTCCCTCTAAACCTTTCACATCATGACTACCCCAGTTGGTGAAGGTGAAATCCCCAATCATGACCCTATTACTTCTGCCCTTCTCTGAAATCTGCCTACAGATTTGCTCTTCTATTTGTCCTCAGACTGTTAGGGGGCCTAGAGTACACACCCAGCAATGAGATTGCTCCTTTTTGGGTTTTAAGTTTTATACATGGCTTAATTTGAGGAGGCTAAGATGTCTTAGGTCATTCTTTGTTCCTGCTGTAATTGTTTCGCTGATCAATATTGCAACACCACCCTTCTCTTATCTCCTTCCCCATCTTGCCTAAAGACCCTGTATCCTGGAATATCAAGTTGCCAATCCTGTCCCCCTCTCAACCATGTCTCACTGACAACAATGAAATCATACCCGCTTATTTGAGTTTATGCCCTGGAGTCATCTGTTTTTTTCGTCAGACTCCTTGCTTTAAAACAAATATCATCCAACATTGCCAAACCTAACTTAAATGGCCTATAATTTATATGCCTTCTTGACTCACTTGCTGTCACTTCTACTTTTGGCATTCATCTGGAATGACCTCCAATTTCTATACTCACTCATACATGGCACTGGAAGTAATCCAGAGAGTACTACTTTTTGGGTGCTGTCCCCTTTAGTTTACTGCCTAGCTCCCTAAATTCTGCTTGGAAGACCTTTGTCTACCTATGTCATTAATACCAATACGTATCACAATCTGTTCACCTTCCCTCTTCAGAATATCCCGCAACCAGTGATATCCATGATCCTGGAACCAGGGAGGAAATCTATCATCCTGGAATCTCTTCTGTGGCTGCAGAAACACCCATCTGTTCCTCTCACAGT